AAAGTAACACAGAAAAACCCTGTTTAGAAAAACCAAAAAAAAAAAAAAAAAAGAGCACCTCCTGTGTACATTCACCACGTACCCTTTTAAAAGGGCCCTGCCCACCTCCTGTCTTTTTCCCTTTTCCATCTCTCTTCCTCTCTCTCTCTCTTTGCTACTCCTGTCCCTGGAGGCCGGTCTCCCTCCTCCCCTCTCACTCACATTCCCTTTTCCCAATAAAAAAACTCTCCACCTGAGCTCTGTGGTGTCTCCCCTCCCCCACTGCCATTTTTAAAACAATAGAGCCATTTTTCCAATCCTTCCTTCCTTCCTTCCTTCCTTCCTTCCTTTCTTTCTCTCTTTCTTTCTCTCTTTCTTTCTAAGACTACATCTCCAGGAGCCCAAGCCTCCACTATTTCCTTCCTTACCTAAAATCCATAAGTAAAATGTAAACTTTCGGTTTTGTTTTTTGCTTTTTGAGACAGTCTCACCTTTAATCCAGGCTAGCCTGGAACCGCATAGCCCAGATTGGCGTCCAAATTATCCCAACCCTCCTGTCTCATCATCCCCAGTGCTAGGATTATGGCTGTAGGGCACCATCTTCAGCAAAGCTTGGCTTTTTTTTGTTTTTGTTTTGTAAGTTTTCATTACATCACATTAATTTGTGGCATGTACACACTGCACCATATCTGTTGAAATCAGAGGACAATTTACAGGAGTTCATTCTGTTTTTCTATCATGTGGACCTAGGGATTGAACTCAACAAACACCCTTAACTGCTGAGCCCACTTGGCAGCTCTAAGCACAGCCTTTTTTACAATGGCTTTTTACAATTCAGCCTCCTTAGTTTTGGCCAGGCCAAAACTAAGGAGTATTATTGATATTAGTGTTACTGTTGCTATTATTATTCTGCTTTTGTTAGAAGCCTGATCAGAACTGAGAATTCTCCTGCCTCCCTCTTCCAAGTGCTGGGATTTAACGTCTGGTGTGTAGCATTGCCACTAGCTGTAAGGGAAAAAGTTTAGTTTGTCTCAGGAGCCAGGGACTTTTCTGTCTTGCATTGCTCTGGCCAAGAATGCTGCCCTACTCTAGAAACTTCTCTAGGCATACTGTTACCAGTGCAGGCTTCAGGGTGGACATGCATCCGTCTTCCACTAAGACAGTGCTTTGCAACCGTCCCAGCACTCTGACCCTGCACTAGTTCGTGACTTGGTGGGGATCCCCCAGCCATAAAACTATTTTTTGGTGCTGCTTCGTAACTGTAATTTTGCTACTGAGCACATTGTGTCTCAGTTCCCAAGACCATCAGAAATATGTGTTTTCTGACAGTCTTGACCGACAGGCTGCACTGAGCCCTTTTTGCTCAGCTGTGTCAGATGGCCTGTCTGGCCGCCGCAGGCCTCCCAGCTTCTGAAACTCTGGTCACTGTGGGTCGTCACAGCAGGGCCAGCACTGTCACACCTGCTGCTGAGTGAGAATGGGACAAGCTGGTGCAGGGACTGCCGTGGTCACCGCTGGGATCCCAACACAGGGCTGGCATAGACAAGCTAAACAAACAAAAACAACTCTTACTGCATAAGTGAATGAAGAAATACTAAGAGTATCAAACACAGAGAAACACCGACATTTTCAGTGTGGTGAGACAGGCCTGCACTCCTAGCTACTCTGAAGGCTGAAGCAGATCGACAGTTCAAAGCCAGCCTGGACAAATCAGTAAGACCTTATCTCTAAATTAAAAAGAAAGAAAGAAAGGAATTAAGAGGACTTCCAGGAGAGCTCAGGGCTTAAATGTGCTTGCTGCTAATACTATTAACCAGAGTTCAATACCCAGGACCCACGTGAGAGACCTGAATCCATCAAATTGTCTTCTGACCTCCACATAGGCACCATAGCACGCCACTCCCATCCCTAAATAAATAAATGTACTTAAAAGAAAATTTAAAGTCTGGGGCATGTCTCAGCAATAGGGAACCTGTCTAAAATATACTCAGCAGTAGAGACTTTACCCAGCATGTATAAGACCTTGAAAAAGCCAGGTGGTGGCTCACACCTTTAATCCCAGCACTCGGGAGGCAGAGGCAGGCGGATCTCTATGAGTTCGAGACCAGCCTGGTCTACAAGAGCTAGCTCCAGGACAGCCTCCAAAGCCACAGAGAAACCCTGTCTTGAACCATCCTCCCCCCCCCCAAAATAAAGACCCTGAAAAAAAATTCACAGACAGAGAGGAAAATCTGGGTTAGGTTTTCTGAAATAATTTGAAGCTCTTGGCTAAAGATTTATTGATCCTTCTATGTGTAGTCATTTCTCAGGAAGCCATTCTCCCAACCAGGGCCAGGGTCCTACTCATACTGGTGGGAGGGGTAGGTGTTGTGTCCATGCTGCTGGTTGGTGGTAAGGCAACGGAGCATGAAGTGTCCCAAGTCATGTTTGGATATGACTCTTGAGGGCCCTCGTCCATCCAGGGTCACTGTGTAGGCTCCAGTTAGTGGCTGATCCCCTGGGAGAGAAAGACAGAGGCAACGAATGAACCTGCCATCCTTTCTGTTTTCAGTTTCCTTCTCTTAAACTTTTTAATTTTTTACCTTTTGTATAGGATGCATGTGTATGTGGGGGCTTCCCCATATTAGTTCATCAAACAATGTTTGTTTGTTTGTTTGTTTGTTTGTTTGTTTGTTTTGAGACTGAGACTTGCTTTGTAGCCCAGGCTGGCCTCAAACACATGGTCTGGGATGTCAAATGTGTACCAGCAGGCCTGGCATCTCCTGAGCCTCTCTCCCTGGGAGCCCCGCTGCACCAGTGTGAGAAAGCACTGGGCACACTGGGAGGTCATTTGCATCTCCTCCACATGCGTCTGTGGGGAAGGCTTCCACGTCACTCCGGTCCCTGCCACCTTCTGAATGCACAAGTTCAGCAATCCCCACGCAAGAGCCACCTTCTGAGTCTTGACTTTCAGTATCAGGAAACAATGAAAATAAACAATGGTGATTTTATGGCTGGAGAGATGGCTCAGTACTTTAAAGCAATTAAAAGCACTTACTGCTCTTTCAGAGGAACTTGTTTCCCAATACCCATATCAGGCATCTTACTACAGCCTGTAGGGCTAAAGGAATCCATCACTTCTGGCCTCTGTGGGCTTCTGCATGCGTGTGAACATAACAACACACACACACACACACACACACACACACACACACACAGACACACAGACACACGTAAAATAGTGAAGATAAATCTTTAAAAAGGATGGTGGTATTTTAACATCTGCATTCCTGGTGATGTTTTTGTCACAGAGAGACAGCAGAACACTAGAAGAAAGGAGGATCAAACCAACCAGCCTCAGGGGCTGGAGAGATGGTTCAGCAGTTAACAGAACTAGTTGTTCTTCTAAAGGACCTGGTTCAATTCCCAGAACCCACATGGTGGCTCATAACCTGTAACTCTAATTCCAGGGGATCCAAACTTTCTTCTGGCCCCCTTAGGTACTGGATGTACTGGGTACACAGACATAGTGCAGGCAAAACGCCACACACATACAATCAAATGAAAACAACCAAGCCCACGCAGGTGTGGTGCTAAATATTTGTAATTCTAGCACTCGGGAGGTGGAAACTGGGGGATCAGAAGTTCAATGTCACCCTCAGCTACACTTTAAGTTCAAGGCCAGCCCGGGGTACACAAGGCAGAAGATGAAACAAAGCAAGGGAAGACAGAAAATGTATTTACTACATTTCTTTCTTTATGATTTGGATTTTTGGAACATAGTCTCAATAACCCAGTAATTTCCTGCCTTGGCTCCCAAGTTCTAGAATTACAGGTAAGCATCACAAACTTGCTTTCTACTTTAAAAAAAAAAAACTTAATAATTTATTTCATTTTATGTGTATTGGTGTGAGAGTGTCAGATCCCCCGAAACTGGAGTTAAAGACAGTTGTGAGTCAGTATGTGGTGGCTGGGAATTTAACTGGAAGAGCAGCCAGTGCTCCTAACCACTGAGCCATCTCTCCAGCCCCCCCACCCCCCAAATTATTTCTCAATTACGCTTTTCTTTACTTATTTTGAGGAAGAAGTCACGTGGCACAGCTCATATGTGGAGATCAGGAGACACCTCTCTTCCCTGTGTGGGTCCCAGGGACTGAACTCAGATCTTTGGCAGGAGCCTTTACCTGGTGAGCCATCTTGCCAGCCCACACTTTTTTTTTTTTTTTTTTTTTAT